GATCAAATGTTCTCCTATGCATTTCTGTACTACAGAGGTGTGTGTGCAATGGTTCAGGCTGGTGACTTCTGCCATCTCTTGCAAAACAGCACCATTTGAATAGTCCACTCTATTGCACTACATGTGTTTTTCTCTTGTTGCTTTTTGTTTGTTTATACAACAGGTAAACCTAATGACTGTAATTACAGGAATGAGCTGTTTTTTGTAGAATTTATGCCCTGCCATACTGTAACTGTGGAGTAATTCTTCTCACGGAATAATTTATCTACAGCTTTTCTGTTTGTTGGGAATCTCTAATATAACAATTAACCTGGAATTGCTATAGAACAGAAATGTGAATCATACTTGAAGAAAGAGCTCATTCACAGTAAATACTTTTAGCACTTGTGAGAGTAGTACAGGATGTAGAGTATTTTCACTCTGTCCCTTTTTTATAACATTGAAAAAAAACAGAAGTTTTTCACATTTGAAGATGCTGTTGCAAGCATACATTTTTGTGTCTGTTTGGTCCATATCCTGTGAATGCTTAATCTTTGTTAATAGTCATAAAATGACAATTTAAATAATTGTATGTTAATCTGATTAGAAGCTTTGCTTATGTGACCAGTAAATAAATGGATGCTATTCAAAGTAGAATGTGGCTTAAAAAATGAAAACAAAAATCAGAATATCACTTTAGAACAATGATATATATACTGTATATACTTACTAAGTACTGCTACAGCTTGCTAATTGTGGGATAAAGCTGGAAATTCATGCCGTAAGAAAAAAAGTGTCAGACAATAAATATTACTAAGTACCTGCACAGCATGATACAGACAATCCAGAAAAAGAATGAAGAGCACTTTTCAATGCCGGATTAATTGGTAAGGCGTAGGAAATGTCTGTTGTAGTGTATTAGTTAATATTCTAATATTGTATTAGAAAATATTCTCTGAAAGTTAGAAGGTGGATTCAATTTATATCACAGTCCTACTATAAGTAGAATGAAATACTGTATGTCTTTAAAAGGTGCTTGAAGACTACCAATGTAAAAGGATATGTAACAATATTAATTGTTGTAAAACCTTTTATCCATTATCGGTTGATGTCCTGCTTCACTTAAAGCCAAAGAGCTGTGGAATAATTGTTAAAAAAGATTTGGAGCAAAGCTTTAATGAAATATAGAATTCCTACTATCCTGCTTCCCATGTACAGTATCTGAAGGTCAATGCACATCAACCATTAAAGCTCTTTTTATTGTAGTAACGAGACATTTACATCATGTATTGCCGACAAATTAGGTCCGATCAAATAGTATTAATAAAAACTCAGTAACGTACTTAGCTTAGTCATCTGTACAAACATACAGCACACACCCATTTGAGTCAATACAACATTAGTGCACAACTCTAGTCTCAGGGAGAAAAAATTAATTAACCTCTTCCTTAATTAACTAATTCACTACTTACTAGCCTAAGTGAACCAATTTAACACATTTCAAAGGTCTTCAGCTCTGGCTGATTTCACGAGGAATGACAACACCCCAAAATCGAAGCGTAACTAACTATTGTGGAGTGAATATTTGGCTTAATCCGCGTGGCTGAGGGCCGACCTCCTGGCCGTAGGACGAGGAGGCCAGGACCCCTCCGCAGGGTAACCAAAGGGCAGCTGCAGAGGTGGAGTTGGGGTGGAGGTGGGATGCAAAAGTCGCACATGAGGGAGAGAGATATCGCATTTGGTATTTATAGTGTTCAGTGGAGGAAGGACGAAGGGGGTGATTGCTAATCACTGACGTCTGGGAATGATTGAGCGTGGCTGTTGTCATCCCTCCCAAACTTTAGTTAAATAAACTCCATTTAAGTACCGTAGTTGTACACCTCTACTACAAACCAAAGCTTCACTTCAGAAGGTTCTACGCTTGTGCAGTGTGTGTTGAACAGCTTCTGACAACAATCCAATTAAAGGACAGCTGATGCTGAAGTCACTCCTACCTGCAACAAAAAAAAGTCATATGGGATCTGGGAGCTAATGAGTTCTTCATTCCCTATTTCGGTATGGAGAACTCCATTAATTATTAATCCAGAGCTGTCCAGAAACAGCAAAAGTGTGCATATCTCCAGGCTGAACTACTGTCCTTCAATCTGTTTTCAGTCAAGTTGATTCAGCCAATCAAGTTATTTTTAAACTAGTAAAAGTCTGGTCCTCACGATATTCAGTCATTTCGCAGTTTCCATCTAGACAGTGTTGAAATAATGTCATATTTCTCATTAGTTTATACCGTTTAGAGTTTAATGTTATGGTAGAATTTGCTTGCATCCTAAAGAACTTCATACTTGAACTACAGTTGGAGCTATTTCACTACAGCTGTCTGCCATCAAAGGCAGCTTTCCAGATGTAGATATTACATATTCAATATTTATGGCAATTTGTGGTGAACAAAAAATTCACTTGCATCAAATGAAAGAAAATAATGAATTTTTATTATCAGAAAATGAAATGATTAAATTCCTAACATGCATCTTCCAGATTGTATTTAATTTGTATCCATTATCTGCCACAAACCATCCGCTACAGAATCAATATTAATGCAAATATTTTTTGCTGAACAGAATAAATTGTTTGGAAATCATTTAAGATTTTTTTTTAATTGAGTGATCCTAAAGTATATGCATTTCTTACGGGATCTATCAATGTATTCATTTTCTAACTGTTTTATCCAATTCAGGGTCGTGGGAGAGCCAGAGCCTATCCCAGCAAGTAAAGGACACAAAGCGGGATATACCCTGGATGGTGTTTTTGAACTGTGAGCAGAAACTGGAGCATCCGGAAAAAAATCCATGTGAACACTAGGAGAACACGCAAACTCCACACACACAGCAACCCAGGAAATCAAACCCAGGGCCCCAGGGCTGAAAGGCAGCAATGTTAATCTTCACTCCACCAGGCCCCTCTTCTAATGGGACCATTTTTCATTTATTAAGTTGCTAGCATTTTTTAATGTCTTTATTTAATATACTACCATAACACTCCCTTTACAAAATAAGTCTGCCTTATTCACAGGACTGTCGCTTGTGCAGCCTGAAACGGGGTTACTTTACTAGTGTGCCTTCCAGATCTATCAGCCAGCTGTATGTGTGTTACATGTACAAACCTCAAATACCTTAATTAAAGAGCCACCATAACTTCCTGCTACTTATAAATGCATCAGCCACAAACTAACTGGAACTGCAGATATTTAATACGAACCTTCTGTTCAGAAAGAGTTATTTCTTTAAGCAGAGCTCCCTCACGGTGAACTTTATTCTGCTCCCATTTGTCGTTGTTTAATGAATTCATTTTCATCTTAACTGACAAACACACTGTAAAGCACCTTCCAATACGTAAATCAGTTTTAATGCTCAACACATTGACCACAGGCTGACAATAAAGAATGCACACACAAAGGAATTTTTTTTTAGCATTTGACACATAAACATTTTTTAAAAGATCCACCCAGTTGGGAATGATTACTTTTTTAACCAGCTTCAAAGATAAAAGGGTTAAAAGTGGTGGAATAACACACCATGAGATTGTTTTCAAACCAGAAATCTCATCTGCTGCACAAGACTGCGATTTTATAATCGCCTGCATCTCAGTTCAAAATAAATTCTTCCATGACAGGGTGTCTACAATGGAGATCCCTCCGTTACCGTGGTTACAGTTTGCAGTGATTCTCTTTCTTCCAGTACTGGGTTTGGGATGGATTTCTTGAGTCACATTAGATTTCTATCCCAGAACTGCTGACAGAAATATAGTTCAGATGGGATGGATTTTTCAATTGAGCTTTGTCTTGGATGGCTGAGGGCTACTGAACTGCTGACTGGGTAGTGTTCTTCACAGGTGCTTTGCTTACCAGTAAATCAGCCTCTGAAGCATTTCTGCTGACCTGTTCTTGTGAGGGAGTCTCATTGATCAAAGAAAGGTGAGCTAAGTATAGGTCAAATTCACTGCATGTAGGCAGGCACAGCCCTGTATCTACCTGCAGAAGTGCTGTGAACTAAAAGCTACATGATCCAGTGGTTACAGTAAAAGAATTTCCTGATTCAAGGTCAGGCTCTGGCCCAGACTCCCTGTGGGTTATGCTGAGTAAAACCTGTCCTTCAGATAAATTGGAAAACCACGTTCCTATTGTTGGAGACTGTGAGGCAGCAGTTGCTGCTTTATAGCTAATAATACACTAGTCTGTCTAGGTTGCTTTGAATAAAATGCCAACCCTATGACCATGTTGTGAGCTACACACTGTATAAAGCAAGTGAACTAGTGTTTTCTCACCTTGTCTGAAGGTGAAAAAAAATATTACAATTAGAAATCACCCTTAATCAAAGGCAGCAGTTTCAGACTGAATTCCCTTTGTTTTGGTTTAAAAAACACTGACAGTTTTTCTAAGGTTTCAAACATCTACTTTTCACCATTTCAGGGCGTTTTTTCCCTCGATAGTTTGTGATCTGTTAAAAAATACTACACTACAGCACCATATTTTAATGTTCTTCATTTGTTTAAAATATAGATATATATATTGCAGTGTTTGTGTGAGTGAGGGTGGAGTGGAGACTGTAATGTACTGTATGCAGCGTCCCAAAGAGCTGGACGAAAATAAGCGCTTTGTTTGAAACAAATCCTGGATGTACGGTAAAGCAGCACACGCTTCCGAAGGAAACTTCAACCTACGAAACCCCTGGTTTGTCAACTTAACCTTTTCAAGCTTTTGGAAAACGTGTCATCTTCCATCCATTTCCACTGAACGCTTGATTTGAGAAAGTCTCGCTGTGCCGGTGCCTAAACCGGCAGGCACAGGGCTCCCTGTCGAACTACACCCTGGACTTGTGTCAGTCCACCTCAGGGCATACACACGCATTCATTCATATTTGCAGACTATAATCTGGCGAAAAAACAACAGTATACTATATTTAATGCAGTAATACCCAATATATACATAATTATGTAATATTAATTTATAGTAATTAAATGTGTGTACTTGCCTGGGTTGATGTTCTGGTTTCCAGTACCTACAGAATAAGTACTGTCCGTCTGCATTGATGATATGAGGCAGGTCTTTGTATGGGACTCCCTGGGGACTGATCCTCTCGGATCCTGCCTCAGGCATTGTATAGGGACTACCAAGAAGAAGATCTACAACATAAACACGCAACACGTCCAGCAAGTTACTGCTATACATATAGGAGAAAACCGCGAAGAACAAACAAATGACTAAACCATTCATATCTGTAATTACTTAAATTCCCCCAAAAAAGCTCCCAGCGGAAATTTGAACTCAAGCATGCAACGTTTCAGTTGTAAACTGCAATGTCACGCAACTGGGTTATGTCCGCTATTTCGCCTCAAGCGGTTACTAACGACACAAGTCATAAGCCTGTTCAGCACTTCCCTCCCTCCGACGCGGTCGGCGAGGTCTGTCCTTCTAGCAATGACATTGACTTGCAGAGAAAAGACAAGCGAACTCTTTCACTATCGCTACACAAGAACAGGTAATAGTAAAATAAAGAGCACACACACACAAAAAAAACATCTCTATGTTTAGAATCACAAATAACTATAGTATCGATTACTCGGTTTAATATTCAGCGTAATTTATATTTATGTGGAGTTTTATCAGTGCGGGGTTGTTGAATGTGTACATTGCTGTGTGTTTTTTTAAGTCACGGATCTTGTCACTAGCCAAACGGAAACCTGTCTTAAAAGTATGAACACACAACGTGAACTGCAAATACACGCTTTTTCGTTTCGTTTTGAAACATGCAAGATGCCGTTTAAAAAAACAGGTTTCGTCTGACTTTATAGTTATAGTTTGTGTTTATATTTAACGACACGATTTACAATATCTTTATAAGCCAGGGCACCACAGTTCTTGCTTCAGAGCGCACAGACTTAATACTGTTTAGCTGCTGTACAGTACATGATACAGTATAGCTGAGCAGCGAGATATTAGATTACAGATTACACCTGTCGGCATATGCCACATTCAAGGTATAGTCTTCACGATTCAAATAGGGAAACACGGGACTCTTCTCTCGTACCCTGAACCATCACTAGCATTAAGGTAGTACACATGTGTTGCCTGAAAAAGTGATACAGTACATTGATCGCAAAGTTAAGAAATGTGTTTCAGTTTATCACAGTGCACCTAAACCATATATTTTGTTATGTAAGAGATTTACGGATGATAAACACGTGACGGTCCACTATTTCACATTTTAAGCAATACAGCATGCCCTAGCGCGTTATTAACCAAGAATTACTCACGGCACATTTGATGTTGTGGTTGGAGATGACCAAACCAAGCCGGGTTCCTCCAGGAATTCAAAGCGTCTTCAGCGCAACTTTAAAAATGCATACCCTTTACGGAAAAAAAAAACAATAGCAGCTTCTTCAACAGCGACAGCACTCTTTATTATGGATGAACTTCGTGGACCCCAGAGCATCTTCCACTATGACCCTGGAAACGGCACTGTTGTCCTCAGATCTTTCTGAATTTTCTGAAGCATAGAGGCAAATATGTATTTGTGTAAATGAAGACAGGGCTGTTGAGTACGTGGATGAAGCGTTGTAAACAGTACCAGCAGTACTGTATCACCTACAAGCTCCATACACGTCTGTAGTATTGTGCTATGAGAGTGCGCTGGTAAGAATCTGAATACTCCCGACACGTTCGCGTAGCCTGCAAAGGCGGAGAGAAAGCCGTCAGCAGCCAATGATGACACATTTCCATACTAAAGTAACGCAGACCTTGAAAAGTTTTCAAGGCGAGCGTTACAAAAGCCACGCATGTAATCACCGAACACCTCTTCAAAAGGACAAGGAACTACAGCACACCAGTGAAAACGTGCCTCGGCGTTCTCAGATAATTAAATTTTTCACTTCATAAGACAATAATAGGACATCCCGACGAAGCTCCAACCGCTTTAGTCAGCGGCGTTACCTTGGTGAAGTGATGAAAATCATTTACTGTAAGCAGGTGTTCGAAATGAGTCTTAACAGGGGCGTTTTATATTCCTTAGCTGTCGTCTCGAATGCTTGGTGCAGCTGGACGGTGGTACACCGGTTTCTGAGTGAAGTTTATAACACAAAGGGATGTTGTTCCCCTTTCTTACGTGTCAATGTAGAGGTTAATATGACGAATCATCCATGACAGACTACAAGTATTAGATTATTCAAGACGATCATGCCCCCTGGCGCTGACCACAGACCCTTGTGTTGGCACTGTACATTATGCCGTATAGAGAGAATGTAAGGTTACCCGTGACACTGATACACTAGCACATTTCTTTCTCAGCGACACCAAATAATAAAAAAATCGCTTAATTCTTTAAACAATAACTATTTCACTGTGTGTTTGGAATCTCTAATAAAAAACAACAAAAACGAGTTTCCGTAAACACATCCAAATACTGACGTAGAATAGCCCCCTGGTAAAATGCACAATTTTATATTTTATATTCAGAGTGCTAAACCGTTTACCAGAATGGAAATTAATCCCACGTTGGTTTAGTGTACTATACCAGCAGGGAAACAAAGCAAATTGTTTTTTTTATTAGATATTTTTCATAAAGTGAAAAGGTCAGGTATGTTGTACAGTAGATGCCAGGTTTTTGAACCAGTTTAAGTAGCGCCAGAGTCTTACTGCAGCTTACAGCCTTGTTGCTTCATTTACAATGGAAACAATGTTCAAAGAAATGCCGTCCTACTAGTTTTGCAGTAAGGGTGAGCATCCAGTGACCTTATCTCGAGTCCTTAGCCTCTCTTACAAAAGGTAGTCTTTTTCGTAAAGCGTTGTGCAATATAAGGAAGTCTCGAAGCAATAAACAGATACTGTACCTAACAGTGATCTCCGCCGCCAATCTTTCACCTACTGTAGAAACCCTGATCAGGTTGTATTCGCCTCTGGAATTCTCTGCCCATCTCCTCCCTTTAGCGTCACATCCCAGACGTGCAGCTGAATAAGACACCTTACACTCTTTCTGAATTCTGATTGAACATTCTAGGCAGGAAAGGATAGGAAAAGGTTCACCTTTAAGTGCGATCTTGTCAGATCTGATAAAGTGAAGCAAAGCTGGACTGCAGCCAGTGCAGTATGTGGATCAGTGCTTATTCCTCTGCACATAAACAATAGTATAAGTAAGCATTTCTTATAAGCATTTTTATTATAATATCTCATTGCTCTTGTGCATGTGACAAATATGAACAGAAATAATCCTTACACTTTACAGCACTTTCTGGACACTTCAATTAAAGAGGTAGTGTAATGGGGACCCCCTCCACCTGTCCTTCTGTCCTCCTAACTCTCTGCTCCTCTGTCTGTAACGATGGATGGCCAATCCCGGCCCGCCTGGAGCGCACCACCAGTCCACTCACCACACATCAGCTATCGGTGTGGAGGAGGACAGAGTGATGAAGCCAATTCACAGATGGGGATTATTTGGAGGCCGTAATTGGTCCAGGGGGGAATTTGGCCTGAATGCTGGGGATACACCCCTACATTTTTCGAGAAACACCCTGGAATTTTTAATGACCACAGAGAGTCAGGACCTCGGTTTTACAATTCTTCCGAAGGGCAGCATCATTTTTGCAGCATAGTGTCCCCGTCACTATACTGGGGCATTGGGACGCACACAGACCTCTAAGTGAGTGCCCCCTACTGGTTATACTATCACCTCTTCCAGCAGCAACCTAGTTTTCCCAGGAGGTGTTTCCCATCCAGGTAATGGCCAGGCTCACACCTGCTATGTTTCAGTGGGTTGCTGGTTGTGAGTTGCACGGTGATATGGCTGCTGGCTATAAACATGGACATGAATTTCAAACTAATGTCCCAGTATGTTGCTTTGTGCTTAAGGACAGTGGTTTCCAACCCCTAGTCCTACAGAAATACTGTGTGGGCACTTTCCAGCTGCGCTCTAACTCTCCAAAACTATTTGATGATTTAATTGACCTGCATGGTTTCTAGACAGTTATTTAACTTGTTTCTTTGGTCAGTCCTGAGTATCAAAAATACCCAACTTCAAGGGGCTTTCTTTTTGTTACTTTCGGCCCTTTTTTCCCTACCTTTTCTTCACCTTTTTTGGATTTTTTTTTGATTTTTACTTTTTTGTTGTTTGTTCAATTGTTTTTGACCGGCCCTTGTGGGCGGAATTAACTTTTTTTTTTTTTTTTTCCCTCCTGCAGAGGTCAAATTATTTACATTGCAGGCAAATGAGGCTAGTTCTGAAACTCAGAAATTTCTACAGGGTTGATACCAATTACAAATCCCATTTGACCTATTAAGAGCAGAAACGAAGTTGTCAAATATGACAGAAATAGCAAACTGAAATTAATTAGCTAGGGATTAAAGACTGGAAGAACTCAGCCAAGAGCCAGAGTCATTGTGCTCCTCTGGGAACACCATCAGGAATCATTGATGCAAGATCTGACATCCTTTAAGTGAGTAGTTAAAATAAATAAATAAATTATATTTCTCACTCTGCCATTAAAGATCCCACAGCACTGTGCATAGGGTAGGGGGTGTTAATCTTGATGCCATGGCTCAATTTCACCCCTGGCTTCCACACTCTGGTCTCCCTAATGTCTCCTCTTCATTCTACTATTTGCTGCTGGACGATATGTTAGTGGGACCAGTATGGGGGCACTCACCCTGTGGTCTGTGTGAGTCCTAAAGCCCCAGTAAAGTGATGGGTACACTCTAAAAAAGGTGCTGACTGTTGGATGAGATGTAAAACAGAGGTGATCCTCGCTCTGTTCTCCTCCGCATTGATACTGTAGCTGATGTGTGGTGAGATAATAATTATAATAATTACCACAATAATAAACAAAATAACAACAACAAAAATAATTATTATTATGGTGGTGGTGAAGTAAAACTTCAAATCTCCACCTAATCTGCTGTGTATTGTGGGTGCTGGAATATAACTGCTGGCAGTTTGGTGTTAAACTTCAGTGATGGATAAGTAATTCCCCTCCAGTTCCTAAAGTGTTGAGGGGTGAAAGGGATTTTTAAGAAGGAAGGAATTATGATCAATTATTGTTACAGGTCTTCACACTATTCTCTTTAATCATTATACAATAATGGACAATCACAAAGTCCATCCATAATGTAGGTACAGCATAGCACTGACTTGCCCATAGTGCTCTACTGGACTATGCAGTGTGCTCAATGTTATGACAAAGCTAATTTTTAAGGAAAATGATTAGTTATATCAACCTTATCCTCATCAGTCCTGAGCCTGCAGCCTCCTAGAATGCACCCCCAAGGAGGGCAGGGCTGTGAAAAAGTTTTTTTTTTCCCTGTGGTTAGACTGTGACCACAATATCATTCCTGTGCTGAGCTGTTTTTTATTATATCCTGAGGAAGTGGCAGGCTTAAAAAGGGATGTTGTGTTACAGTAACTAACAATGCAACAGCCTCTCAGCTCATTGATTTTCAACAAACTGTAGGGTCCATCAAAGACATACATTCTTGCTCGGTTATACTTTCCACTCCCTGGGAATTACACAGCAGGAAAAAAGAAATGTCTGCATTTTCAAAATGAAAAGGTACCGCAAACATCGTAAATGTGCATTGTTTTAAGCTAACACTGTCTTAAAAAATAATTAATAAGTAGAGTGACTAGCTAGTCTCAGCTTCCAGTCCAGCTTCGAAAACAGATGAAATAACATTTGATTTTGCAGTATGGATGTTAACAAAAATATATTATGTCAGCCCTATCAATGAACTTTTCTTTCTAAAATACTGTTTTGTTAAGTGCTGGCTTAAGAAAATGGAGCAAGTTAATGAATACCTGCTGGAGCTCAGCACTGAATTAATGACTGCTCTTTCAAATGGAGCCAATTAAGTCTGTACCATTTCCTGATGTATAAACAAAAATCTTGTGCTTAGTGTTAATGGAAAAAAGCCCTTTGAAGAGCATCACTTATTATTACCTGAGACACGTTAATTGCAGTTACTAACGAAAATTCTCAGTTAATTAGGATCCTGGATGGACTTATCTTGCCTCACATTATCTTGACAACATTATAAATGTGTGTTCTGTTTTTTTCATTTTTCTTTAAATCTTGTGGGACGTGGATTATAGTTTTTCTCATTTTTTTACCGCTGTATACTAACAAGATCACATCTTACTAGATACCTGTATTCATTTCAACAATTTTAACTACTTTGTTAAATGCCCACCGGTTACGATAGTACCGGAACTCCATTATATAATAACCATTCGCAGTGGAAAGACTATCTTGCCCCGAGAAAATCCGGCCACAACATTAAACATTTAAATTCACTCGATATTGGAAAGTACAGACTAGTACAACGCCAGGAAAGCTTACAGTGTAAGGCAAATTATGGAAATTAATTTTGTTGGTAAATAGACATTTTAATTTTCTCTTTAGAAATATGGAAATCGAGGGCAAGGCAAGCGAGAAAAATATGCTACCGCTTCTGTCAACCGAATTGGATTGAAGGTGAAGAAGTAATGTATAATTCAGTGTTTATTTTAATTAAAGCTGAGCAAAATACCCGCATATCACTTAGTAACAACACAAAAGCTGATTAATACTGTTGGTTCGTTACTTCAGCTACAGATGCTGTTAATTAAAAATAAAAAGCATCATTAACAACATGAACCTCATCACCATCACAACAATTGTATAAAAAGAGTCTATCAAATACTAGCAAAGATTGCGATTTTAACCATTCTATGGTGTGAAGTTCTGAGCTGCTAAAAAAGCATAGAAACAAGCTACACGCAACTTTCGCGATATCTTGTTTTTCGACGTTTTAAAACATCTGTGGAAATAAATATTTTTGGAAATGGGTTTTAAAATCCCATTTGTTAAATAACAACAACAATAACATTTACGATCGACGTCAGACATAGAGTAGTTGGTGGTGTTGTTGGCCCACTAGTTGTTTGTCATGTGTTGTAGATGTAATCTATTTTAAACTTCACTGCAGGCAAGTGAGCGTGGTTACTTGGCCAAGTTCAGCTATCTTGCTAGTGTGAAAACAGTAATAGCCCTAATGCTTTCTCGAGTAAGTCAGTGTGTTATAATTTGCCAGGGGGGAAATGTTCGCTTCGGGTTAGCTAAAAACAAAAAATCTATTTTAACATTTTGGGTACGGTACAGTACTGCTAATTATAGACAGCAACGCGTGCATGTTGCGGCTCATGTAGTGGTTCTTTATAAACAGTGCGTTAAAAAGCTCACCTTGGGAAACGGGGCCATCTTAAGTAAGGGCACCGTGTTTTTTAAACATTACATCTCGTTTATATCGGTCTGTTTGATTTTGTTTCCTGTGCTTTTCCCGTTCTGTAAAAGAAAAATAAAACCGAAAAGGCTAAGCTATTTTTAATCAGGAAAGTTGAAATGTCGGGTTAAAATCGATTATGCCAGAGCCCTGAAAAGAAATAAATTTTCAAAAAATCAATTTCGTTTTGTACTGTTTGACAACGTAGTAGATAGCTGTTGACCTCCCTTTATGATCAAATGAGCAGTATTGCTGAGATCAGGTCTGAGAACAGTTTGATATGTTAATTTCCATTGAAAGTATTAGAGTACATGACAAAAGTTCAGAAATGCACCTAGCATCAGTTTTTAAATCACTGAGAGGAAGCTGCAGACTAGCTGAAGTCGTGGTTGCTGTCTCTAGAAAATGATAAATGTACAACTTTTCATTTGAATTGACACATGCCGTTTTTTTCTTTCTCTAGCTTTCAGGTAGTGAAAGCTGTCCTTGTGAGGTGCATTTTCTTCGTAAGCGCGGCTCCTTACAAATTAAGCCCTTGTCCCTTGTATACTGTGATGGATTGCAGGGTTAAACACAGCCTCGCACTGCTGGGCCACATCAACAAGATGAAGGAGATGCATGAACTGACTGACGTGGTTTTGGTGGCAGAAGGGGTGAGTTTCCCATGCCATCGCCTCGTCCTCTCTGCATTCAGCCCCTATTTCAAGGTCATGTTCACCTGCGGGTTGCAGGAGTGCAGTAAGAGGGAGGTGATTCTTCAGGATGCCACACCAGACAGCCTGTCTGTCATCCTGAGTTACATGTACAGCTCGGAGCTGCTGCTCTCCAATGCTAATGTCCAGTCTGTGTCCACCGCGGCTTTTTTACTCCAAATGGACGATGTCTTCAAAAACTGCCAAAAATACATGGTGGACCACATGGACGCCTCCAATTGTGTGGGCGTGTACCACTATGCCAAGCTCCTCGGGGCCGAGGATCTGGCAGAGAGGGCGAAGAAGTACTTGTACCAGCACTTCGCCGAGGTCTGCTTGCACGAGGAGATCTTGGAGGTGGACTCCCACCAGCTGCTGGCCCTGATAAGCTCCGATGACCTGAATGTTTCCCGGGAGGAGAGCGTCCTCGATGTGGTTCTCCGCTGGGTCAACTACGACAGAAACCCGCGTGCGGAGCATGCCCTGGAGCTCTTGAAGCAAGTGAGGCTGGTCCTGGTGAGCCCCGACTTCCTGCGAGAGGCCCTGAAGAGAAACACGGCCCTCCTGTGCAACTCGCAGTGCTACAGCATGATCACCGAAGCTCTAGAGTTCGCGCAGAAGGCCGGGCTGCCTCGGTCTCTCCACCTGCGTTACGGAATGGAAACAACAGACCTCTTGCTCTGCATTGGGAACAACGGGCTGGGAATTAAATCTAGGCATGGGAGTTACGCCGATTTCAGTTTCTGTTATGCTCCCACCACCAAGCGAACCTACTTCATGAATTCCCCCCGGTACGGGGAAGCACTGGGCTCTGTCTGCGCGGGAGTAGTGATGGAGAACAATGATGTTGTGGTTGCCGGAGAGGCTGGGGCTCTCAGACTATCGAGGCAGAAGAGCAGAAATGTGGAAATCTGCAGGTCTGTAAATTCCTCAGCTGCACGGCTGTTTCCTGCAACCGGTGGACTTTGTGTGACTAAGAATGTGTGAGTGATTGATAGAAAAAAGCCTGACAAGAACAGGATGTCACATATTTCTTGACAAAGTAATAGTACAGTAATGGTACTGTATTGTTGTTCTTCAAAGACACATCTCAGATAAAATAAATGGTTAATGCTTCCTAAATATATTGCAAGACCACTGGTCTGACTGAAATCTTGTCAAACGCTTGAGGAATAAACTTAAAATATGAGATGATTTGTTGTTCTCCTTGGATATTTGTACTGTGTACTGTAGCTTTATCCAGGAATTAAGAATATACAGTAAAGGTCTTTATGTCTGATTGTCCTGCTTCCCTGATTCTTAGAATCTCGTTCATTCAAGAATCTCATTATCTAGCTTTAACAGTACAACTGGGAAACCAGCCAGAGAGCCACTATGGATTAAGATGTGTTATTGGGGCCAATTTGAAATGAATGCATTTTTAATTGCTTTAACTCCCACTCTACGATTCAGAAAGGAAAATAGTTTAATTGTAATATATAACACATACAACATCCAAATTGTAAATTGATAGACTGCAAACAACTGATCTAGAGAATCCATCTCTAAATGTTACACTTTCAATCTTGATTGCTTTTTGTCTGCCTGTATCCATGACACAGGTACCACATTAAATCACGAGGCTGCTGGGAGAAGCTGTGCTCTGCAGAGTATCGGGAGATGTATGCCTTGGGCACACTGGAGACTAATTTATACCTCCTGGGGGGTCAGATGAAGCTGAAGAACCAGTACGTGGTCACAAACTGTGTGCAGAAATTCTCCATGGAAGGCACCCAGTGGAGAAGCTCTCCTCCGCTGCCCATTCCACTGGCGTGTCATGCTGCTGTCACCCTCAAAAACAAGCTGTACGTACTGGGAGGGTGGACTCCACAGGTACAGTATGAATAAACTCACTCTGTGCTTGCATGTGGCCAGTTTGTGCTGAGTTTTTCGCTTTTGGTAGTTTTGTCTGGTTCCTCACTGTAGTAGAATCCAGGCAGGTTAGGGCTAGTTTCCTAACATTGTGACTATAACACAGTTTAATTGGCAGCATGACAGCATGACCTGTATCACTGCAGCCTCACTGTTCCCGGGTTCTGAAGTCTGTTCTGGCTTTTGACAGCTGGCCCATGTGGAGGTTTTGTGGCCTCTGTATGTTTGTGGAGGTGGGAGCGTATCAGATACTCCAGTATCCATGCACTTCCCAAAGACAGCCACTCTAGATTTGATTAGCAACTGGGAGAAGTTTCCAGTATGACCAGGGGTTAGGGTTTGTTCATAGTGTGAACCATACAGTTCATGCGACAAAAATAGAACCAACTGAGAACTCAGAGCATAATGGCCTCCTCCCATAGACATTCTGATGTTCAGATGTCAGGGCCATGTAAACAGCATTGCTTAAAACAGTTTCTAAGGAAGTGCTTAATTATGCACAGTGCAGAATCTTACAGCTTAAAAAAATCCTTGAATTTAAAAGGGAGTCTTGAAGTGGTTTCCTTGTGGAGGCAGCAAATCTAAACAAGGAAGCTGTACTGGAGGGCTTTCTCATTTGTGTTTATGCTAGGCTCTGCAAAGTTTCTTCTTTTCCCAGGTTGAGATACAAGCAAACAAAGACTGTTACATAAGAGTCGAGGAAGCAACATGATACACCTCAAAAACACTCAAAGAACTGAGTTTCTTGTTGTCTGGGGGATATGCTGAGGCAAAAAAATAATAATAATACTCTTTGGTCAGATTTTGTCATTGTTAATAAATGCCTGGATTTTTACAGTAAAAATACTGTACGAGACAGAGACCAGTCACAGCAAGACTGGGCAGCGAGAGAGGTGTGTCAATTTTAGGACAGTGTAAACTGATCATATTAAATGTCTGCATCAAGCAAGTCATTTATGGCTTTAGATTATGTTCTTTGTGCCCCTCTAATAATAATAATAATAATAATAATAATAATAATTCCTTACACTTATATAGCACTTTTCTTGACACTCCACTCAAAGCGCTTTACAGGTAATGGGGACTCCCCTCCACCACCACCAGTGTGGAGCCCCAACTGGGTGATGTGACGGCAGCCAAAGATCACCAGTACGCTCCCCACACACCAGCTATCAGTGAGGAGGATGTGAATAATGTAATGAAATCAATTTATAAATGCCAGTTCTTTAGCAACCTGTCGTTTCCTGCAGACAGATCGTCCAGACGATGAGCCGGACCGACTGAGCCATCGCTTGTTTGAGTTCGACCCCGTCAAGGACAAGTGGACGGAGCGGGCCTCCATGACGTACTCCAAGTACCGCTGCAGCACAGCCGCGGTCAACGGGGAAATCTACGTCCTGGGTGAGAGAGAAGTCTTCCAAGCCCACCTTGAAATAAAGCTCGTACTGATTTTAAAAGCTTGGCGCATAGTGGCCACTATGATTTTTAAATGTGTTGGCTCAAAGCTTACATTTTCCGTAACATCTTGTCAGTCTGTTTTTGTGACAAAGCTTACCTTATGTCATTTTCCAGGTCCCATGTCTTTGTAGTGCCAGATTGTGAATGTATACTGTACAATTTTAAAAACAGTGATATATATATACTGTAAATACAGTTGTGAGAAAAAGTTGTGTGAACCCTTTGAACTCGTCTATATCCCTGCATTAAATGCTCCTAAAGCTCCTAAACCAAATGTTTCCTGTAGCTGCTGATCATTGCTCTATATTGGTTCTCTTTACAGAACTGTTTCAGTTCATTGATATTTTTTGGATGTCTTGCGTGAAGATTGCTACAGGTCATGCCACAGCATCTCATTTGAGTTAAGGTTAGGACTTTGACTTGGCTGTTCCAAAATGCAAAATGTCCTTTATTTAAGCCCTTCGATCATTAGATTTACTCCTGCGATTACGATCATTGTCATGTTGTATGACTCAGCTTCTACTGAGCTTCAGATCCCAGACAGATACCTTGACATTCACCTGTAGAATTTGCTGATACAATTTGGAATTCATGGGTCCCTCAATGATTGCAAGCCGTTTGGGCCCTGAGGCAGCAAAGAAACCCCAAACCACCTTGCTTCATGTTTGGGATGAGGTTTTTGTATTGGTATGCAGTGTTTTGTTTCCTCCAAATATAACATTGCCTAACATTGTGCTAGTAACATTGTGGAACATTCAAGTGGTCATTGGAATCTTGAGACAGCGGCAGTGTGTTTTTTTGGAGAACAATGGTTTCCTCTGTGGTATCCTCCCACGCTCACCACTCTTGTTCCTCTTGTTGCAGACCCATGAACATTAGCCAGCACAAGACATACAGTACCTGCAGATCCTTAGCTATTAGTGTGGGGTTCTTTGTCACCTCCTTGAACATTGTACGTCTTACTGTTGCAGTAATTTTTGTTGGACAACCACTCCTAGGGAAAATAGCAATGACACTGAATTTCTTTTCTTTGCAGACTATCTGCCTGGCAGTGGATTTTTAAAAATTCTTTTTTCCAGCCTTTCCAGCCTTATGAGCATCAATAACTCCTCTTCCTGGTACCTTTGAAACTTCTTTTGATCAGGGCATGTTTTACTTCAACAGATCTGTGTTATGAACAGCTGGTTGGTAACCAACCTTTGTGGGATTTTTGTAGGGCAGGCACCTGAAACACCTCATCAAACTCATTGATTGGAACTCCTGATTCCAGTTATCACCTTAATAGAGGTAATTATTCTACTGTAGGTGTGCATAGTTTTTCTAGTATAGACAGTGAATGTTCAAGCAATGCGATCTATATAGACATGAAAAGGTACAATTGTTTTTGTGTAATTTGATTAGATTGTGTTTATCTATTATTATGACAGACAATGAAGATCAGATCACACTTCAGGAGCAATTAATGCAAGAAAATAGATGATTTCAAACTTTTTCTCACAACTGTATATGCCCTTTGATATCTGCTTTACACGTTTCCAATCTGGCACAGTATCAAAGTATAAAGTTTAGTTAGAATTCTCATATTTACTTCATGACCTGATTTTCAGAAATCCCCTTTCTATAAAAAAAACCCTCCAGATGCTCCATTTCAGATTTTGTTTGCTTTGGTGAAGCCCTCATAACAAGAACATAAAACTCCAAATATCCTCTTCCCCCATGTGAATGTGAATCCATTATTGCCTTATTTGTTTTTTTATTTATTTATTTACAAAACAACCATAAAAACAAAAAATATATGTCTGCTAAATATGGCTTGACAGAATTAAATGAAAGGTTTTGGATTGAGGCATTGTAACAGTTATTTTTTAGTCTTTTATGCTACAGGGTAAAGGTTTGAGTGATTGCTATGTAAACTGTTAAAAGAGGCCAGAACCCACCCGTATTATGTATTCCTAGTATCAAAGAAATTTTATTTTATTTGATCTCTACAACAGTTTGTTTACTTCTTTCTTTAGAACTGAATAGCTGAATTGTGACATGCAGAAACGGTTTCCTGCATACAGTCCATGGTAGCAGACATTTTTTTTGTCTCGGGTTTTGTGCAGGAAACAGAGGACCTAGTGTTTGAGGTACTGAAATTAAACTACAGTACAGCCTGAAAATGTAGGTCTTACGGGCACATTATACCCAAAAACGACTGTGCAACTAATTAAGATACATAATTAAAAGAGCAGGTGCTCCAAGAAGGGTTCAGCTGGTGTAGAGTTTGAAATACTTTGAATAAATAACTAGATTGTTTGTCCTGTTTTTTTTTTCTTTTTCTAAGCTAAGGATTTTCCCAGGAATGCAAATAGTTTGATAGGGTCAGGCTGTAAAAGGGATTATTGTGTAGGGAAAATACTGGACCAATTCAGACAATCTTGGAATAAAACAGACTACAGGGGTACAAGCTGGGGACAACTTGGTTACGACTGGCCACCCTAGTACTGAAAGAACTCCCACATGAACACAAAGTTCTGTCCCTGCTTCAAGTGTACAGCAATTGGGTCAAATGTATAAGCCAAAAGGAAAGAAGTTCATTTCCAGTGTACAGACTTGACAGAGGAGTGAAAAGAACTGTTTGCATTAGAGTGAAAGAATAATCAAACTAATTAGATTAATCAAATCAACATTATTCTCTAGTGAAAAGAAGAATGTTTCTTAGGAAGTGAGTTTATGCTGAAATCCTGTCTAATGATCAAATAGCTAGACATAAACACGCCTGCCAAGAAAGAGCATCCCTCAATCAGCAGTGCAGTGCCAGTCTATTTTAGCATTTAACTGAGGAGCATGAAAAAGGCAATAAATGAGTATCAGACCTACTATAATATATTTATTGCATTTGTAATGCCTCCCCGTATATAACAAAGTGAAAGATTTAGAGAAGGAATATGCTTACAAAACACGTTATACTGTATTGTTTGTGTGTAATTATATACAACTATAACAACCATAGCAGAAAAGCACTGAATAAAATATAGATTTTTGAATAATATAAAAATAACTATGAAAGAATAACTTCATACTTTCTAAAGTGTTCAATTTAATTAGTAGCCGGTTATTACAAGGTTCTGTTTTGAAAATCCAGGGTAAACATCTGTTTTGTATTCTACTCACCAAGTCAGTGCTAAGCCAACAGAATGCATTGAAGGAAAAAAAAGACAATTCTGTTTCCTAAGCAGTTTTTGATCTGCTGCTGTCATACGTGAGTACTGATCTCATAACATTTTTTTAAGAACAATTTTAGGAAAAATCCAAATACCACAGCACTGACAGAATGTTTCAAAGAGATTTAAGGGGGCAAATGTACTTTTGAATCAGTTGTATTTGGTAAACCATAAAAAGACCAACCTTAAAGTGTTTATGTTTTTAGCGTAACAATAAAAAAGAACTGAACTTTTCTCTATAGATCAATGTGCATTTTTGCTATTAACATATAGGTATACTATATTAACAATAGATTTTTAAGGTGAGAAGCCTTGAGTTCCTTATATTGGAAGGGGCTATGTAAATGTTACTCCTGTTGATCAAATTATTTTCTTTGTTTGCAAATCTGCATGTCAGTATATATTAGTCAGTATTAATCTTTAAGAAGCACAGTCCTCTTTATGTGTAATAAAAAACTTTTTTCAGATTTGCTTCTTAAAAATATAAAAATAGATGTATGTTAAAATTTGAAGATGAGAAACAAACACACAAGAAGGCAACAATTCCAAAGAATTACTGTACAGTAGGTGCCACATTGAGATGGCGACGGTATTAAAATAATTCCACGGTATGAGTGCAAAATAGTTTTTTACATAATAATCTGTAATTTACATAATAATCTGGGAAGTAGGTCACTTGCATAATGATTTTGAAGAACTGTTCATTCTTCCGAGCTGGGAAGGAAAACTCCTAGTAAAATAAATGAAGATAAAAAATATGTTGAAATTACAGTAGCTCCTGCTACAGTTGGAAAGGGGGACTAAAAAAGACTGGGAATTATAGTGCTGAAGGAACAATTGTGAAATGATTCCAAGTATGCTCTATGTTAGTTTCTCCTCTTGGCATTTGCTTTAAAGATGTATGAAAACATCCTGCTATTAATTGATATTTTAGAAAAACCTTAAATTATATTTATTAATTTATCTGAGGTGTAGTATATTATGAAAACACCAAAGATTTGCCAATAAAACTGTAAAATCAGTAAAACGGTGTGTCAGTAAAGCCCTCCACAATCCAACACAGAAAATAGGTGATATAAAGTCCAAGACTGTGTTTTGTCAGCTAGATTACCTACGTCATGCATACTTAGGGTGCCTTCTGCTTATTGTTGAGATTATTGACAAAATAAATAATAAGCAAAGTAGTCTGAAGGCTATGAAGTCCATGAAATTCATTGAAATGTTATCCAGTCTCAAGATATGGTCCAGCAGAGCCTTGCCTTTCATCTTATCGGCCTGCTCAACAGCTGGCTGATCTTACTCCAAAGTCCCTTTTCTTTGGCTTGCAAATGTGAGAGCTCTCCTAGTGGAAATCAAGGTCATTGCAGGCTGGAGTATACCTTTATATACTGTATATAATATCTAAGTCAAACCAGCGCTTTGGGTTGTTAGGAATTTCTTGTGTTGCTCTTGAAATAACAGTGATGCAGTACAATGGAAAGACGGAAAGTTATAAGAACAGAAGGAAAAATCATAAATAACACAGGCATATCATATACAAAATAGAATATGAAGCTACATTACAGTGAAGAAAGAGTCACAAATGTTCTGTTAACATTTTTAATAAACGTTTAACTTTAACATGCGCTGCTGACAAATGTGTCCTTCAGAAGGTCCTTGTCAAGCAATTCTCATTAAGAAAGAGGTATAAAAAAAGCAATGGAATATAATCATTGCCAGAAGACCATTTGGAGCTATAGGGACTTGAGGGCAATTGTTTTTTGTGACAGCTGAGGCCTGCTTTTCTAAAAAAATTAATGAAGAGCCTGCTTTGGATTGGAATCAGTTGAAAGCTATATATAAGTAGAAAAAAAAGGACCTGAGTTGTTACCCAACAGTTAGAAACAAGTATTAGCTTGTATTCGCCAGCTGCCGGTGTCAGACCAGTGTCCTTGGGTCAGTAACCTCCCACTCAGCAACAGGAGCCCCTCACCTGGCTGCAGCTCAGTTGGTGTTGGTGTTGCCTCTTATTTTAGGCGGTATTGGGTGTCTCGGGGCGGATCACGGCCAGGCTCGGCGTTGCCTTGACAACGTGGAGATTTACAACCCCGATGGGGACTTCTGGAGAGAAGGCCCCCCGCTGCCCTCCCCCCTCCTCTCCCTGCGAACCAATGCCACCAATGCTGGCGTGGTAGAAGGCAAGCTGTATGTGTGCGGAGCCTACAACGGGGCAGGTAAGCCGTTTTCGGCCTGCTCGTGCCAGCTTCCTCTCTCACACGACTGAATAAAACACCGCACAAAGACCTGCCTGTGTCTATTCATGTCTCTTGCTCCCAAAGTCTTCTTCCGGTCAGGCATGTTTGTTTCACTAGTTCTGAAAATGAGCTTCAATCACATTGCAAGAATGGAGTCCTCTCTCCAAATGAAGATGTACTCTAAGAGGTTCTGCATGAGGCAGTCTAAGATGCATCTTAACTGTGGATTATTTTTAATACACTGAATGGCTTTCTGCTGGCTGGCATATGACTTAAAGAAAGAAGTGGTGTGAAGTGTAAGAGTAATTATTCTTTTTTCCGTAAAACAGGAACAGCGTGTTTTGTCATTTGTGTGTTTGCAATTTGTCAGTTGTCTCTTATCTAAAAAATACAGTTTAGGTAAGAGACATCCGAACCACACAAAGCTAAAACTACAAACTAGAGAAATGACCGTGTAAAATACAAGACACACTCATAAAACTTTTCCAGAGCTTCAGTGTGGGTAAAATGCACAGGATCGGTGGAAAACTTCAGCCCCATTTTTCATCCCTGAGCACCAAAAGGCCCAAGAAGCATGTCAGATCACACTGGCTTCAGTCACATCTGCACAGCAAAGAAAGTGCAAGAAACATTTTGGGTTTGGAACATTCTTTCTTTTTTAAGACCGCGTGTTGATGGCTATGCCCTGCCTTGGCTTGCCGGCGTGTGTGCTGGTACATTGTCAATAACACGGGGCTGTGTGTTCTGACAGATCGCCATGAGGTCATCACCAAGGACATCCTGGAGCTGGATCCCTGGGACAACCAGTGGAACGTGGTGGCCCATGGTGTCCTCATGCACGACAGCTATGATGTGTGTCTGGTAGCCAAACTGAACCCCCGGGACCTCATTCCACCTCCTACTGACCTGTTGGAGCAGTGAGGGGTCTCCCCACTCACAGGGGTCGAAGAAGACGGGCAGAGGCCGACAATGCAGGACAGGCTGGATTTATTTCCATAGTGCGTTCTGAAAAGCGGAACGGGAAATTAGCTTGCCGTTTTTGATCGCTCCTAATTCGCCGGCTTGAATTCTGTGGCCGTATCATAGATTTCACATTAAAACACCGTGCTGTTTTTACAAGAGATTGAGAACAGAGCCAAGCCGTGTCCTCGGAGTCCTGCTGTTAGCGATTCGGGTTATGATGCAATATTGTGCTAATTGGGAAGAGGTGGCATGAATGAAGTGTGATAGCTTTTTAAAGCAAGGTAAATTAAGTTAATGGGTTCTGTAATAGCTGCTAATGAATGGAAACTGTGCAAATCAAAAGCTTTACTGCAGCTTCGATATTTTCTGTTAGCATAGGTGCAGTAAATAATGCTTGAACTGTGTGAAATGCTACAAAGTGCTTAAACGTGGGAATATTTAACATTTTTTATGTTTTCCTGGTGATTTAAACCACCCAGGGAGCCTCTATCCCAGACCACAATTCAAATATATGACAGTCACAAATTTCTCCTCTCCCTGGTCTCATTACATATTTAAATTCCCAGACAATGAAGCTGCAGTTTTTTCATGGGAAGGGCAAACATTTTCTTCCGCAAAAATGTCACTGCCACAAAAAGTCTGTTAACTTTTATTTACCATGCATGATTAGGAAACACATGAAGAAATGTCCACATCCGCCAATCTTGAATTCAACCTTGCTATTAAAAAAAAGTCAGAAACATCTCAGCATACTTGAAAATTGTTCTAAATTGTGCTTTGTGTCATTTCATCTGCAAAAGGACTGGAGCACTGCCTATCCACCAAACTGAGATTCCAGAATCCGGAGATCTCACGGCTGTTAATGTTATGAGACCTCTAACATTCAGGGAAATGAGATGTAAGATGTACTGTATGTTCTCTTGCCTCACAGACCTGGGGCTCTTAGGTGAAGATATGAACCACGGTGCTAACTGTGTGGAATTTGTATGTTCTCCCCATGTTTGGATTGGTTTATCCAGGTGCTCCAATTTCTTCCCACAGTCCAAAGACATACTGGTACTGTTAGTTAATTGGCTTCTGGGAAATTGGCCCTGGTGTGTTTGTGTGTCTGACAAGGCATGGACTGGCATCTCTGACAATTTTAGATGTGCTATGTAGTTACTCGCAGAAAAAATGCTTAGGTTCTTTTTTCTATACTTTGCTTTGGAGGAAATATACCAGCAGTATGTTGGTTTTACAAAGTGATACCAATTATCGCTGAAGTATACAGTAATTGGATTACTCATCCCGTTGTATAATTCTATTACAAGTATTGTAGAAAGCTCATATATTGGAAATTCCACTCCACATGGTCCTTAATGCACGAAACACCTGAAGTATTGAATATCTTAACCATTAAATATTAAGACTTCTTTCCTTATCTTGGCCAATTAACAATATGTTAATTATATTTGTGCAGGACACTTAAACCCAAGAAACACGTCAGGAGAAAATTAATGTGATAATGTAAGGTGTTTTGTGCAAATCCTAAGAGAGTTTTTATTCAGGTTAACTTGTTAAATATAAGCATTGTTTCTTTGATATGGTACTCCAGTACAAAACTTCAAAGCTAGTTGTGAACCTCACTTTTCTTAATGTAAAATCCAGATGCAAAGCAATGTACAGTACCTATGTGAGTACAAATTGGTCACAGTATTCTGCATAATTGCTTCTTTGTCAGAGACACAAGACTAGAGAAGATCTCTTAACTATTCCTCAGTTTCCCACTTCACTTGCTCTCATAAGACCTTTTTTTTTTAAAAATGGTCAGATTATAAAGAATATTTCACAGTGATTTTCCATAAAAATATTAATTAATACTTGGCAGCACTGTGGTTAACATTGCTGCCTCAGAGTTGGGGCTGTGAGTTCAGTTCTGGGGGGGTGTGGAGTTTCTGTGTGAGGAGGTTGTACAATCTCCTCATTGTTTGTGGGTATCCTCTGGGTGCTCCAGTTTCCTCCCACAGTCCAAAGACATATTGGTACAGGTTAATTAGCTTCCTGAAAATTGGTTCTGGTGGGATTGTGTGCCCTGTTATGGACTGCCGACAGTTCCAGGGTGTATTCTGCCTTGTGCCTATTGCTTGCAGGGATAAGATCCAGACTGGACAGAGCTGCTAGAAAATGGATGGATATGACTGTAATTAATACTGCTTTGAGACCATTTTTTTCTTTTCAATGATTTCCAGATCATGTGTTTTCTGTTGTGCATTTTTGGTTTTACAGTAACACCTCTTTGCCTTGCGCACATCTGCCACCATCTGGAGAAACTCGGTACTAGCATTTGTTTTACGACAAAACATTTTTGCTTTAACAAAGAGAAGGCATTTTACATTGACGCTACAAACACACCACCTAGCGTTCAAGTCGGAGATTTATAGGACCAGCTACCATAAGGCAATGTAAAATGTAGTGTTTGTATCATTTGAATAACTCTCTGCAGGTAAAGGAGTTTCTTTCATTGTTTCGCCCAGTTGAGAAGAAAAAAGGATGACAACTGGTTCAGCACAGTGGCTCAGTGGTTGGCATTGCTTCCTCACAATACTGAGGTCCCGGGTTCAATTGTGGACCTATTTGTGTGGATCTTTTATTGTATTGTTCTCTCCCTCTCTGTGTTGGTTTCCTCCGGCTTCTCCGGTTTCTTCCCACAGTCTGAAGACATACTGGTAGGGTTATTGGCTTCTGGGAAAAAGGTCCCTGGTGTGGGTGTGTTTGTGCTTGTGGCTGTGAGTAGCCTGCTTTGCTCCCAGTGCTTGCCAGGATAGACTGGTTTCTCCACAACCCTGAATTGGATGGAGCAGTTAGAAGATGGGTGGAAAGAGTATAATATTTCTTCTATTCTAGGGTGTCCAGATTACCTAGAACTCCACAATAGACAATACTGTTACTGCAGTGCTTCTCCCAAAACAGCCAAATAACTCCTTCCAAGGAACTTATAAGTAAAAGAAGGCAGGCACACACGCGTTGTTCATTATCTGTGAAAACTGAAGAAGCCGTATCTAAAGGAATTGTTTAGGTGAAAATAAAACAAGACTGCCATCCGGAAAATGACACAGAACACAATGTTGACAAAACACTAGGCCAAAAATGGAGTGTGCATAGAAACAACCATACATTTTTGGGGGGCTTTGTGGATCTCATGCAGAAGGGTGACATTTATACTGTACCAGAGGGAAAATTGGACAATCCAATTATTTTTAAGTAAATAACGACACCATGCTTATGACACCATGCTGCTCAATTATTTCTGGATTTGTTTATACGGAACAAAATCATTATGGTTGAGATTTGTCATGTGAAATAATGCTCCACACAAATCTGTCTTTACTACTGGAAAATGTCATTATAATGGTAGCAATGTCTCAAGCGGACCAAAACTGTTTGTTCCCTTCCACAAAGCAAATAACAAAAAATACACAAAAAATATTATTTTTGGAAAGAAAGTTATTTCTGAAATACATTTCTAAAGTAAAGTGTTAATTTTTGAGCTATGCCATACACAAAATAAACCAAGCATTCAAACAGTTTCTTCCTGCAAGCTGTCAGATTAATGAACTCTACCCCTACCACCGAGTAAACTCATCTCGATTACTACACCTACATTACTACTCACACTGATGTGTTTTTTTCTCTTCTCGCACTGCTTGGCTGACCTGGCTTTTTAAAGTTGCATGTCATTTAACTTGCTGTTGTTTTTGCTGCTGCTGTTCTGTGTTTGTTTTGGTGATTTCTTAATGTCTGTGTATCGGAGCAGACGTGCAAATAAGCATTTCATTGCACTTGTGCATATAACAAATAAACTGAACTGAACTGTGGAACATTGTCTATTCCATAACCTTATTCTAATATTGGAGCTATCTCACGTGAAGCAAAAGTTAATTAAAAAATTAAAAACTGTATACTGTATGTAGAGTAAAAAAATCCACTGGAGACCTTTTGTCAAGCAGAAGAGGAGTTTATTGTATATTTAGCCAAAGAGAAGCACCCTTCCTGCAATTAGGAGGATGGTTCTAACAAGAAACGTTACAGCTGAACTTTTATAAATTTACTTGATAAGGAATACAAAGAGCTTAAGTCTCAAAAAGAAACAATATTTTTAAAATGTATTTATATTGGTTAAGCAAACTTCTACTTTAATCGGAAGATGTCTACATAATTGAACTATATCAGTGTTTTCTAAAAGCAGGTAGTTACAATTTGCCTTCTACACAAAATCAATTCTTTGGGATTCTTAAAACAAGCACTCTTTGTGTCTGCAGGCCCCTGGTCTTATTAGCAGCCAATACTTTAATGTTGCAGCTGGTGTTTTTCTGAACGTGCTTTACAGAGAAACAATTTTTAACCCTTCGACATAGAACAGAAGGTTACATTAAAGAGCGGTAAGGAGACTAAATTCAGATACATATTAAGACCATTTTCATTGAACCCCTTTTTAAACTTTTGTTGGGTCCAAGGATGAGGTGTGACACTTGTTCTTGTCAGTCATGCCATTCAGTATCACGTACCCAGTAATCTCAAAACTCATTGACTTCCAGCTCAAGATATTCCCTGGATCAAACCCTGTGCCTAAATGAACATCCTGTATTTCACAAGGAGACAGGACACGATCCCACATGTGGACATTGGACATCTGACCAACTAAACACTGACTTTTGTCAAACGAGCCTCCATAGCTGTCCTGCTCTTGACCCAGCACAATAAATGGTTTCCCGCTGATGGGAATTGATCTGGATCCCCCTTTCTTTATGCTCTCCTTCCCATTAACCCACAGCTGAACCAAGCCGCTATCCGACTCCCAGGTCACACACAGGTGTGTCCAGCGCTGCAGGTCATTCTGCTCTGGCACACCATAAAAAAAGATGGACTTGGAGTTTGTTATCACTTCGTATTCACCCAATTTATTTTTAAAGATGAGGAAAGCATTATCTTGCTCTTCTGTGGCTAAGGAGAAAAGACAATAACCGCGTTGTATATCAGAGGCGTAGTGAAAGCAGGCTGTCAGGGCACGAAGGGGTGCTTCTTTCTTAGGAACCAGCTTTACATAGTTGGCTTTGGATTCTTCAGGAAAGACCAGGATTTTCCCCGAAAGATCTGGACAGAAAAGGCAAGAAGGCTAACATTGGCCAATGAATCTGCTAACAAGGCAATAAAAACAGGTAATCTTAAAAAAGACTAAGAACTTTGTAGCAGTACGGTAAACGCTATTAGAAATTTTAGAGTGATCCGTTTCAACCCATCTTTGCTGAAAGCTTTGCACTGCTAGATATGATGAGACAAAGTGACATCCTGACACAGAATTACAGTACATCTTCACGCTTCAAAGTAAAATAGAAACTCAAACCCTTCACGTTTAAATATTGCCAAATACGGGAAAATCCTGGAGACAAGCAAAGACTTGTTGTAAAACTGTCTTTCACAAATATTTATAACAATTTTATATAAAGTAAATTCTTGTTAATGAAGAATCCAAACATTATAATCCTAAATGCAAATTCAAAACAGTTCAAAGAACTTAAACATTTTAGCACTTTAATATAATACATGTGAGAAGTATTCTATTAATTGTCATTCTATTGCAAATACCCAAAACCCAAATGCATTATTAAAAGACTCAGCTCTCTAACACATCCATCTGTAGTATCGTCCTATTTAATGATGAGAAGATAATTGTTTTCTGACAAAAAAAAATTCTTCCCATTTTTCTTATCGAAAAACTGCTTCATGCTTCCTCACCCATTTGCAGCAATCTCTTCATCTCAGACCGGGATGGTTCAATAAATTCTTACCTTGTTCTCCTGATCCGCAGGCCAGCAAGGTCAACAGGAACACTACCTTCTCCATCAAGGATCTCTGCTTTTGTAGGAATGAAAAGGGTTTCTAGCTTACTGTGCAGTCTGTGAATGTGAAGGGTTTTGTTACAGCACTTATATACACGTACGCTGACAGACATTGGCTGCTCTCTTCCAAGGTCTTCCAAACCAAATCTCAGGTTTCAGTCCTTTTTTCCACAAAAAAAAAACAGTACTGTATACTGCTTTAAGTTATATCCTGTCTTCACCTATTGTTTCTAATAACATAAAAGTTAAACCATTTTTTTGCAACATACTGTCAACACAATTTTAGAATATTTTATTTAAAAATCTGAATATTCAAAAGCCTCATTTTTAGATTTTAGAAGTCTTGATTTAGAAATTTGCAAAATCACCTGCAAGAGATCATTTTAAACTTATTTGCAGCAAATCCACATTGGTCTCCTGGCATGAAACCCTGTTTGCTTGACTTGAATTGTTTCTTGGACTTGTTTCATTGATCAATTCATTGCATCACATTTAGGGTATGAGGCATTGTGACAATGAAGAGATTGAAGGGACAGAATAATTTAATTTCATTTTATATTCTTATTATTTATACTGAAATCACCATTAATAATTACAGGTATTAGTTTAACTTTTGATTCTCGTATAATCAATATTGATTACTTTAGTAATACTTATATATATGTTACTACACTTTAGTATTAGAATAATTTTGAATCACCCCAGCTTGTGCCTCTGGTTAAAGCTCTACGAAAAGCCATATATTCATGTATACTGACACTGCTGAACCAGCTGCCTAGCATATCTAAAAAATGTTTATTGGACTGTCAAGGGAGATATAACACAACCTTGATGGAGAGGACTAGTGGATGGTGGTACTACAACCTGATAAGAGTTGGTATGTAGTTGGTATGTAGTTGGTAATACATACTAATAAACATTGTTATGGACTGGTAGGGGGTGAATGTACTACCCCTGCAGGTTCAAGAAGGGGACACTAAGGCACAAGTGTCCAGGGGTTGCTATGGAAACCTTCCTTATTTCATCCAGCGATGAAGGTGAAGAGGACTAGGGAGGAGTTTTATAGGATGTAAGCTGGGAGGGTACATGGAATGGTCAGATGACAATCATTTATGGCACTGCACAGCTTATTAACCAATTAAGATAGAAATTGATAGTGGAGGTGGGGGAATACTCAGTCAGCTACCCCCACCTGAAAGTGTATTTCACCTCTGATGCTCGCTTTGTATCTTTGAGTTTTACTTTTACTGTGGGCTGTCCTGACAACATGCCTTACAACATAAACTTCAGCCTCAGACTGAAGGATGTGGGGCATGATTTTTAAAACATCTGTAGAACCAAGTGATTCGCTTTTCTTATTTATCATCATGATAGTTTTGTGACTAACAGTAAATATTTGTAACAGCAAAATTAAAACTTCCAAAGGTGTTTTACAGCTGCTTTCAAACAGTGATGTTGCTGTGGAAAGCCAGTGAAGAGTTGAATCAGTAAAAGAATGCTACCAAAGTTTATGTTTAGCTTAAAACTCAAAGTAAACACAATTGCTGATAAACGGTTGTGTGGAAGTTAATAAATTACAACTGGGAATAGAAACACTTTGTCTTTGTTTTACAAGATGTGATGCCCTGATGAGCTCCAGGGCTCCTGCATCAGCACCCTCGATCACCACGGCCACGTGGAAGGAGCTCATCAGGGCCATCACTAACGAGATCAGGCTGGAACCTTGCACACTATTTAAGCCCTGAGGAACTAGCCTTCAGGGCTCTGACATTGAGTCACTAATGAGAGTGTGTGGTTGGTCATGGTTTAGGTTTTTTTCAGGAGTTACCCCACAGTTTTTTATCCATTCACAGCCTTCTGGTTCCAATTTGCAGATGCTATCACTTGCTAACTATCTATCATCCCCTCCTGTCTCCATCCCAGACCCGACTGCTTCTCCTGTGCATCTCGGCTACCTGCTGTTCTCCTTTCTGTTTCCCTATTACCACATTATTATTCACTCCTGTAATAATCTCTGTAATCTTCAGTGTTGATCAGATTTTGTGAATAATTACTTCACTGTGCCTCTTTTTTCCACCTAAAGGCCTGGCATAACAACTATTAAAGAAATAATTCTGAATGGTTAGAGTAAAACATTAAAGAAAACGTGGTACACTAACTATAAGCCAAATGTGGACCTACAGAACCATAGAACTGCATCTTGATATTCAGTCTGGAGGGCTGTTGCTGGAGTAATATCTCCTTTTTTTATTGTTCTCTCTGCACTCCTGAATCGATTTTCAATATGTGAAATTTTATAAATTGGACCTCACAGACAGTGTTTGTTCAGACAGTTGGAAGAATTTCCCTCTCGAGTGTAGGTGGGATCCTAGCGTGATGGTATTTTGGAGAAGTCTTGCAGGACATCGCTGGGGCCAAGGAAGCCTCTGGGTTTTTGAACTGCCCTGTACAAACACATGACTCTGAAGGAGCCCAAGAGCATTATGTAGTGTGTGGCTCACCCTCTCCTCTTTGAATATACAGTACACTGCTCCCAACTGGGGGACGCCTGTGTTGAAGCCACAGTCGTACTCCCAGGTCTCAAGCTGTACATTAGGTCATTCTGCTCTGGAAAACTTTAAATTGCAAACTTGGAGCTTGAGCTCTTGGTTTTGAAAATGTCTACACCCTGCTACTGAGGCGTTAACTCGAGGGGTCTCGAGTACAACACCGAGCAAACACACCAGTCTTCTCCACGTTTCAGATCATGTATAGTGGTTGTGAAATCATAGCTGGCGTCAAAGTGTCTCATCTGTAAGATGGTGGCGGTGCGTAAAAAAACAGCTGATCTCTGGAGAACGGCAATGCAAAGCGTGAGGCTTTTATTACAGCGCGCATAATTAAAGAAAAACCCGAATATTCACAACACACAACGATGAGGTGAAGGGCAAACAGTGAACAAAAACTAGTACAAGTTACCAAATTGTCTTCTAATATGAATATTTGAATTCAGAATCGAACACTCTATAGCTTTAATAACAACACAACTGTTTTCCCTCCGATATAAGCTCTCAACCATTCACACCCACCCACCTACGCTTGGTTTTTTTTAAACTTGAGCTCAGTCCGTTCAGTTAAACAAACGACAATACTACTAGACTGCAAGTTAATAGACTGGCCCTTCACTGCGGAAACTAGCATTAACGTACAAGTAGACTAGCAACAACATGGAGGAAGAGAGCCAGACAGTACACTTACATACTGTACAGACAACACACTGCGTAAACCTGTATATTTAAATCTTACTAGCGCGTACAGCGTTGGCGACCTAAAGTAGGTACACACACGTGCGCTGCTTCGATTTTATGCATGCCCATTAACGAATTGTGTGCTGATGATGGTGACCTTTTCGTCCTCCGTGCGTCATGTTTGCTGGCGGCTTACCGATTGGAATCGGGTGAGTAAGGCTTGTTTTTGCGCGTATACAATATCCTCGTTTTAAACTATACAGTACTGTATGTACAGTAGTTCAGGTGATTAGCTGCGTCAGCATGCAAAGGAACAAGTCATAGTTGTTTATTCCATGCTGAAAAGAGAAGAGAGAAAACACAACGTTTTGGCTGTGAAGAAAAACGTGTTTTCTCTCTTCTTAAACTGCATATGCCCATTTCCAGTGACTTCAACGTCGCGCAACTTCACAGTCTGTTATATGAATGCTTTACCTTCGTGATTTCTTTACATTTGGCAAAAATGTAACATGCTGAATGTGAAATAATTGATGTGGGGAAAAAAGAGGCTCGTGTTATACAAAACGGAAATATTTATATTTTAAAATGTTAAACTCCTATGGGTTTGGGTAGAGATACACAAAGCCTTTCACTGGGTGCACCAGTGAATTATTGGTAATGAGCAATAACAATAACATTTCGGCCATAGCGATGGCCAGCATCCTGCAACAGAGAACTTTTAAACTGTTACAGGTGATTTTTCAAAGCTGTTGGAGAGTGTGTAAACATTCAATTTGACATTTTTTTGATTTGAGCACCCTTTACAGATCTTTCTAAAACTGTGTACATTATAAAAATGATCAGGCCCAGGTGTAAGCACTTCTGTATCTTATGTACACAGTTGAGTTTCAGGATGTCTTCTCTCAGACATTTCAAAAAGTGTGCTTGCAGTCTTGGATATATTGTACCCAAACATCAGATATTTTTAAGGAGTTCTCTCAAAATGTGGCAATAAGCAATAACAATAACATTTCAGTCATAGTGATGGCCAGCATCCTGCAACAGAGAACCTTAAAACTGTTCCAGATGATTTTTCAAAGCTGTTGGAGAGTGTGTAAACATTCAATTTGACATTTCTTGACTTAAGCACCCTTTAGAGATCTGTTTGCTGCATCATCCGTTTGTTCATTGTGCAACATCTCACCAGGGACCAAAGGTTCTTCCAGGATTCCTGCTGAAAGAAAGCAACAGGCACCACCCTGCAATGTTTCTCATTAGATGTGAATCACAGCAGCCAACCAGCAGAACAAATGCACGCTGACGTTCAGCTACATCTGTTCACAATAATCTCTCCAAGGGTAATAATAATAATAATAATAATAATAATAATAATAATAATAATAATTGCTTACACTTATATACCACTTTTCTGGAGACTCCACTCAAAGCGCTTACTTTAGATTAAAGACCAGCCGTTTCACACTTGTCTTAACTCTAAACTTGTGAAGCCGAGTATAAAACACTGGAAGAGTGCAGCTGGCAGCATATGGTCAGGTGCTCGAAAGATCTTGCAAAATGATTGTAGATAACAATAAAAAACTGAAATGCCTCAAAGGGGTTAAAACCTCTGAGAGCAGAGAAATCCTTTCATACTTCTGTGAATTTCTAAAATATTTCCAGTAACTAATGTGTCAGAGGGGGGATTGTATGTTTTTTTTTTCCTGTGTTACAGCCCTTGGCTGCACATGTTCAATAAATTTTATCTGAAGTAAAATATTTAATAGAAAACAAAGTAAAAGTTGCAAAATAAAATAGATCTGAACTGCATTTTAGTCATGCAGTTATTTTGGTCAAATAAAGTGAATAAAAGTTTTAGTTCAATAGATTTTTAATCCTTGGAAAATTATGGAAATATTAGGAAATTAAGGAAAGGAAATTAGGCAATGAGATCCTTTTTTACTTTAGAATTAAGGCTAATTTGAAAGCATTTAAATTCATATTACCAAGTAAAACAAGAAATGTGTACAGCAGATTAGAAACTTGAACTGTTACTCTACAAATATAAAAGAACCATAAACAATTTTACATTTAAAACACTGACAGAAATCATTAAACATAACTTAAAACTTGAAATTCAAGCATTTATTTAACTCTTCAATGGTCCACACTGGGTTGCAGCAGACATAAATGTGGTTGGAATACTGGGCTTTTCTCTTTGGTCTTCTGCAGGTTAGGGTCTCTCTACTCAGTTGATATAAGACACTGATCTGTGGAAGACCTAAGAAAATATTCTAAAAAATTGACAGTGAGCAGAGAAAACAAAGATGTATGATACAATAAGCAAAAGTTCTAATTTACTGTATCACAAAGGACAAATATTTGTTCCACAATGCAAAATATATTAATCCCTTTAGAGGTCAAAGGCTAAATGCAATAAATCATGCAATAAGGGTAATCTCACACAGAGACATTGTAGAAGACATTCTTAATAATGACGTCCATTTTGGCAGAGTTAATTAACTGAAATTCTGTGCATTTTTAAAAGGCTTTTAAAAGTACTCAAAGTGCTGTCATTGTTAATTTAGCCCGCAAAGGCCCTTGCCAATACATGAAATAACTATATAGTAATTACTTTATGAGTTACCTAGAAAATAGAATTTCAGTGCACAAAAAATACACACTGATTTTTTAAAATAAGATTAAAAATTGAATTGATTTCATGGCAGAGCACCATTAAGAAGTTGACATTTATGATGAGTTTTCACATTTTACAGAAGTAACTTAATTTGTATTTGGTAAGTACTAGCCAAGAATAACCTATTAATTCCCAATATGCAAATTGTAAAATATGCATTACTCTTGCCTGGTTTTCTATTTAATTACATGACTACCACCTTATCGGTGCAGAGATGTCTGGGTGGTGTTGCCTCAGAGGGTGCTTCAAATGTGTTGGATTCTTTTTACTCATAATGTAGCCACATTGTTTCTTTTCGTTTAGGTAATATTTTAGAGGACGTTTTCTTGGTTTGCTCATTGTACGTGAAATACTGTACTACCAAACTCCTGAGCTTTTTCTTTTTCTTCTAGCTGAACGCACGGTAGAACCTCAGAGCCTAGTACTACTAAAGATTTATCGATCTAATCCATTTCATTGTTTTAGTGACAGGTTCCCCGTAGCAAGCTAGCTTACTCCTAGAGCATAACATCTCACTAATAGGTTCAAAGATAATAATGTGGCAAGACATGTGTAAGTTTCTGTGTAAGTGGCTTTGGGGAATAAACCCAAAGTTTAGCCCTTTATTTTACGGTAGGCATGCTAGTCACTGGGGAAGAGAGCTAAGGCCTAAGACAGAGAAGAACAGGTGCCTGCACCTACTGTAGAACTAATGCAAGGCAACGAAAGAGAAAAGGGGATCTGTCCCTGTTTTTATAGAAGGAAAAGTTGAGCCTTAAGGGTTATTTGAATAGTGAACTCTGGGGCGGGGGGAGGGTAAGGGGGTGGGATGCAGAACAGTAGTATTATTTATTAACTTATTGTGGGACAACAGGCAAATGAGTGAATGGTGAATCTCATGTGACAACATTATTTTCCATCTGAATTCTAGTCAAACAATTTAGTCTCGTCTCCGTTTACTCAAACAAAAAAAACGCAAAGCCGTTTAGTCTTGATCATCGTCATCGTGGACTATTATGGTGAGTGTTTCTCTTCATCATTAGCTGAAATGAAGATCAGTTAGTTGACGAACACTTTTGTCACAAATGTCATCAACAAAATTGATTTTGCTAGTACCACATCAGATGGTAATACGAAAAGCGGCTAACAGTTAGAGCACCAAGACAGAGTGAAAAAACGGTGATTCACACACATAGTGTAAATAGGATGTATGATTGCCTTTTATAATGTACATTTATAATGAACCAAGAAAGAGTTCAGAAAAAAAGGCCATTTCTACTATCAGTACTAGTGATTGCATGCTTCAGTAAACCCAGAGTTTCCTTTTATTTTTATTTTTAAAAGTAGTGACATTAATCATCAGATTAAAATCCATGATCACAAAAGAGAGTATAGAACCAAGACAAATTAAATAGAAAAAATGGTTATATAGAACCAAGATGTATATAGAATAATGAGGTGTTAATTAGTATACACCTCAATAAAAACAAATGGCGCCTCAAACACTGGAATAAAACTATTGTTAATCCAGTATTTACAGATAAAATGGTTAACTGTGTCTCATAGTTGAAAACACAAAAAGTTTTTCTCAGTCAGTGTATCAACATCATTGTAAAAATTACAGAAGTTTGTGTTGCATAAATTATGTATGCTTAACTAAATGTAACATTCACAATTGGTGAATATTTTCACAATAAAGAAGATTGAGGTTGACTCTTTGAATGCAATGGAGGACCTAACATTTTTTTACAACATTTTTCTTGAAAGAAAATAACCTGCGACATACTGGAGACAAAGCATCATTCATTATGCTTTTATGCAAGTAGAAATGACATGTACTGTAGTAATAGAATGACTTTATGTCCAAAACATAGTGTGCTGTGCTGAACATTTGGTCAAGGAACAGTTGTATATGTTGTTCATTTACGGGGCATTCTTTGTTACCAAAACCAGAATTTCCACAACTGACCCTCAGATTTTCTTTAGAAAAGCAAATGCCAGAACCATACACTTGTGGTGTTTAAATATGATTAGCATTTCAGATGATGGACAAAATAAGACCACTTGAATTCAAAATTCAAGTAGGCACTAATGCTGTGCTTTTAAATTCTCATTTTGCTTTTAAACTAGATTCTTAGAATTTAGAATAGTTAATATGGGATGACTCTTAAGGACAGAAATACAGAATTTGTCATATGAAGGATTTTCTTTTTATTTTTACATATATTTTTACATATTTTTTAGAAAACATTGGCTGGAAAGGAGCGGGCGTCTTGTCTAATTGCACCTTTAAGCAAATAGCACAAATTATAATCTACTGTATAGAAACAAATGAAGATTTAAACCAAAAATATTCTTTTTTTACCATCTTGTTGGGTCCAAGGATGAAGTGCGACACTTGTCGTTGCCTATTATTTCCTCCAGTATCACATACCCTTTGCTCTCAAAGCTCATTGACTTCCAGCTCAAGATATTCCCTGGATCAAACACTTTGCCTAAATGAACATTCTGTATTTCACAAGGAGACAGGACTTGATTCCACATGTGGACATTGGATATCTGGCCAACAAACGACTGCTGTTTGTCAAATGTACCACCATAGCTGTCCTGCTCTTGACCCAGCACAATAAATGGTTCTTTCTGGATCAGGCCTGATCTGTTTATCCCTTTCCTTATGCTTCCCTTCCCATTGACCCACAGCTGAAACAGCCCGCTGCTGGACTCCCAGGTTACACAGACATGAGTCCAATGTGGAAACTCTGTCTCCTCCGGCACGTCGTACAAATCATCCTGTTTGGCGTTGACATGCATTCGATATTGCCCAGGCCTGAGTTTATATAAAAGGAGAGCATTGTCTTGGCCTGGTGTGTTCACGGAGAAGAGAGAATAACCACGCTGCAAGTCAGTGGCGTAGTCAAGGCAGACCGTGACTTCAGAAAAAGACTCCCATTTCTTAGGAATAAGCTTCACATAGTTCACGTTGGACTCCCCTGGAAAGGTGAACATCTTCCCCGTCAGATCTGCACAGAAAGGCACAGAGCCCAAAAATCACCACTCAATCTGCCAGCATGATACTACACAAAGCTCAACATCTGAATGCTTGAAATGATCATGTGGGAGGAACAAAAATATTTTATTAAGAATCACTGGTAAACTAAACAAGTCTGTGACATTTTTGTTTTTAATGAAAACTTAGTACTTGGTGTCTCCCCAGATTAAGGTTTAAGTTATCTTTAATTCCCACTGCTATTAACCTGCTTAAGATGGGCAACTGATTATATATTTTCTTTCATTATTCAACATTTCTGTATCTCACGTACTGATGATCTAATTTTTATTCATTTTTTTCTAACTTGTTTTTCTCATCTCATACACATATGTTTCTTATTGGTTAAGGGGTCCTTGTTGTTTTAAATGTATTATGTTGTGCATGTTTGTGGTTGTGTCTGTGTGTCTGCTATGTGATGGACAGGTGTCCTGTTCCAGGTGTACCCTGCCTTACACCTGTTGCTTGCTTGCTGGGCTGGACTCCAGCTCCCCTGCAACCCAGAGGTGTAAGACGTAGTTAGAAAATGGATGGATGGAAATGTATTATGTATTGTGTAGCTACAAGCAAAGGTTTATCCCGTGCTGAAAAGAGAAGAAAAGAAACACAATGTATCGGCTGTGGAGCCTTCTTTGGGTATATATTGTGTTATACAGTATGTTGTACCAGCCTGCAAAGCAAAATTTCCCAAATGGGACAATGAAGCAAGACAGTCAGTAAGTACAGCGTCCTGCCTGGTCTGTGTGCTTTTCCTACAGAATAGTAACCAGCAACTGAAACATGACACGATGGTGATAGGATTTTAGGAACTCACTAGATTGAGGTCCCTCTGGAGTATGACCTTTTCAGGTAACTCAGTTTGAGAGTGGTCTCAAACTCAAACCACACCACTCTACCCTCTGAGTAATAGATTGGGTGGAGCAGCTCAGCTGCACCCTGGCTATAGAGCTAGCGCCCTTGATCTCCAGGCATCAGTGTCCTTGTTTGGCTGACATCATGGTTAGACATCTGGAAATCATTAGGTGTTTTTTATTCTGGAACAAGATACTGTACTGTATCAGTCCTAATTGCATGGTGATTGATGCTATGGTGAACTTATAATGCTAACTTCATACAAAGGGCTTTTCTATTGGTAGAAACTGTGCAATTGTGATTTTGTAAATATGGTAAAAAACAAATGTAATACATTTTATAAAATTAGTATTGCTGTGAACAGCAAAACATTTATTAGTCTGCATGTAATTTGCTGTTCAGTATCCTCCATGGTTGTTTTTGAAAAGCTAATGGCAAAACAAGTGGCAGACTTCAATTTTGTTAAGTTGAATTAAGTTCTGCAGCAAATCCAAAATGTTTATTCTTATAAAACTAAACACAGAAGGGAGAACCACTGTATGCAGACATAATTCAACACTGTAATCAAATCACAGTTATTTTTTGTTTCTCTTGAAGTTATTACAGAGTGTCATTCTGGGGTGAATGTACCGTGCTTTTTAAATCCTGTTGTTTTTTTAATCAAAGAATTAAATTTGACTTTTGCTGTAGTCTGACCTAATATATCTGCAGTTTGGAACAGGATTAGTCTTTAAGTCTTACCTTGAGGTTCGCCTGACCCACAGGCCAGCAAAGCTAACAGAAACAACAGCTTCTCCATCACTGCTCTGTCCTAGTAGGAATGAAAAGGATTCACTGCTGACCGTGCTGTGTGTGAATCTAAGCTTTTTACTGCAGTATTTATATACTGATATACACTGATGGACTTTAGTACAGTGCTGGGAAAAAATCAGTTGTCAATATTAGTTTAACCTAGTTTATCATTCACTTCATCAGTCACCTTTCAGGTGTAACCACATCTGTATCTTACTTGCACAGTTGTCTTCTCTCAGAC